TTGGGTAATTTTCGTGCAATTTTTGGGTGTATTTTGGGTGATTTTTGGGTCATTTTTGTCCCATTTTTGGACCCATTTTTAGGTGATTTTTGGGTGATTTTTAGCCCATTTTGGGTCATTTTCAGGGTCATTTTTTGGGTAATATTCGTGTAATTTTTGGGTGATTTTTGGGTGGTTTTTGGGTGGTTTTTGGCCCATTTTGGGTCATTTTTGGGGTCATTTTTTGGGTAATTTTCGTGTAATTTTTGGTGTATTTTGGGTCATTTTTGGCCCATTTTTGGTCATTTTTGGGGTCATTTTTTGGGTAATTTTCGTGCAATTTTTGCGTGTATTTTGGGTGATTTTTGGGTGGTTTTTGGCCCATTTTGGGTCATTTTTAGCCCGTTTTGGGTCATTTTCGGGGTCATTTTTTGGGTAATTTTTGTGTAATTTTTGGTGTATTTTGGGTCATTTTTGGCCCATTTTGGGTCATTTTTGGGGTCATTTTTTGGGTAATTTTTGTGTAATTTTTGGGTGATTTTTGGGTGGTTTTTGGCCCGTTTTGGGTCATTTTTAGCCCGTTTTGGGTCTCTTTCTGCGCTCACTCACCGAGGCCGTCACGGCCGTGTCCGAGTCGGGTCCGAGCTGTGGCCGGAGCCCTCCGGCCGCTTCCAGAGGCTCCCCGAGACCACCGAGGGTCACCCGAAGGGTCAGAGGGGTCAGCGTGTCCTGGGGACAGCCCTGGAATTCCCAAAATTCCCAAAATTCCCAAAATTCCCACAAAATTCCCATAAAAATCCCAAAAATTCCCAGAAAAAATCCCCAAAAATTCCCACAAAAATCCCAAATTCCCACCAATTTTACCCAAATTCCCACGAATTTCCATCAAAATTTCCCAAAATCCAAAAAAATTCCCCCAAAATTCACAAAATTCCCAAAAATTCCCATAAAAAACCCAAAAATTCCCACAAAAAAACCCCAAATCCCCCCAAAAAACCCCAAAATTCCCACAAAAATCCCAAATTCCCACCAATTTCCATCAAAATTCCACCCAAATTCCACCCAAATATCCCAAAATTCCCCAAATTCCCCCAAATTCCTCCAAAATTACCCAAAATCCAAAAAAATTCCCCCAAAATTCCCATAAAAAACCCAAAAATTCCCACAAAAAAACCCAAAAATTCCCACAAAAATCCCAAATTCCCACAAATTTCCACAAATTTCCATCAAAATTCCACCCAAATATCCCCAAATTCCCCAAATTCCCCCAAATTCCTCCAAAATTACCCAAAATAAAAAAAAAAATCCCCCAAAATTCACAAAAATCCCAAAAATTCCCACAAAAAAACCCAAAAATTCCCACAAAAATCCCAAATTCCCACCAATTTCCATCAAAATTCCACCCAAATATCCCAAAATTCCCCCAAATTCCCCCAAATTCTCCAAAAATCCCCAGAAAATTCCCCCCAAAAATTCCAAAAAAATTCCAAAAAAATTCCCCAAAATTCCCCTTAAAAATTAAAAAAAAAATCCCCCAAAAATTCCCAAAAATACCCAAAATTTCCCAAAAATTCCCCCCAAAAATCCCAAAAAATTCCCCAAAAATTCCCCCAAAAATCCCCAAAAATTCCCCAAAAATCCCCAAAATTCCCAATCCCGGAATTCCCAAAAATCCAAAAAAAATCCCCAAAAATTCCCCAAAAAATTCCCAAAAATTCCCCAAAAAATCCCAAAAAATTGCCCCAGAAATCCCCAAAATTTCCCAAAAATTCCCAAAAACTCCCCCCAAAAAATCCAAAAAATCCCCAAAAAATCCCAAAAAAATCCCAAAAAAATCCCCAAAATTCCCCCAAAATTCCCCAAATTCCCAAATTTCCCCCCAACCTTGGAGAAGATCTCGAGGGTCCGGCATCTCCGCCCCTCCCCCATCCGGAGGCTCCCGTTCTGGAAGGTTCCGGAAGCGAAAATTCCGCGGCTCCGGAGCCTCCCGGGATCGAGCTCGGCCCGGAAGCGGAGAAGGAGAGAAGGCTCGGAACCTGCGGAGGGAATTCGGGAATTCGGGGGGGTTTGGGGAATTTTGGGGGATTTTTGGGAATTTTTGGGGATTTTTGGGGATTTTTGGGGAATTTTGGGGAATTTTTGGGGATTTTTTGGGGATTTTTTTGGGATTTTTTGGGATTTTTTGGGATTTTTTGGGGATTTTTTTGGGATTTTTGGGGGATTTTTGGGGATTTTTGGGGAATTTTTGGGATTTTTTTGGGATTTTTGGGATTTTTGGGGATTTTTGGGGAATTTTTGGGGATTTTTTGGGGATTTTTGGGGAATTTTTGGGGAATTTTTGGGGAATTTTTTGGGGAATTTTTGGGAATTTTTGGGGATTTTTGGGGGAATTTTTGGGAAATTTTTAGGGATTTTGGGGGAATTTTGGGGAATTTTGGGGATTTTTTGGGGATTTTTTGGGATTTTTTTGGGATTTTTGGGATTTTTTGGGAATTTTTGGGGATTTTTGGGGAATTTTGGGGATTTTTGGGGAATTTTTTTGGAATTTTTTTGGGAATTTTGGGGAATTTTGGGGGATTTTTGGGAATTCCGGGATTGGGAATGTTGGGAATTTTTGGGGATTTTTGGGGAATTTTGGGGGGAATTTTGGGGATTTTTTTGGGATTTTTGGGATATTCCAGGATTGGAATTTTGGGGATTTTTGGGAATTCCGGGAATTTTGGGAATTTTGGGGTTGGGAATTTTTGGGGAATTTTTGGGGATTTTTGGGGAATTTTGGGGGGAATTTTTGGGGAATTTTGGGGTTGGGAATTTTTGGGGATTTTTTGGGGATTTTTGGGAATTCCAGGATTGGGATTTTTGGGATTTTTGGGAATTCCGGGATTTTTGGGAATTCCGGGAATTCTGGGAATTCCGGGATTTTTGGGAATTCCGGGAATTTTGGGAATTTTGGGAATGCCGTCTCTCACCGAAGCTGTCGCGGCTGCGTTTGGCGCAGGTGAAGCAGAGCCGCGCCCACGCCAGGTGAGCCCGAGGCTCCTCCCCCTCCTCGGGACACTCGGAAACCACGGCCGGAATCACCTGGGGCTCGAAGGTGAGCGAGAGACGCACCTGGAGCAGGGGCGGGGACCTGGGGACACACCTGGGGTCACACCTGGGATCACCTGGGGACACCTGGGCACACCTGGGGACACCTTGGGGGCACCTGGGGACACCTGGGGACACCTGGGCACACCTGGGGACACCTGGGGTCACCTGGGGACACACCTGGGGTCACCTGGGGACACCTGGGGACACCTG